AAACCATAAATATTCTTACTAAAAAAGAAGAACTTATCAAAGAAACTGTTCATCAAATCCCTGATCGAAAATTGAAAAATAAGTTCAAAACTCTTCTTCCTTCATACTGTGTTCATGAATATTTTAATATGCAAGATATTATTGAAAGATTTCATGATGAAAAATTTTCGAAAGTCTCTACTTCTGATTTAAAATTAGAAATCAATATTATGAAATCTCAAATTTTCTGATCTTGAAAAACAAATGCAAGATGTTAAGATGGAAGTTGCTCATCTTAAAATCAAAGATTTAAAAAAATTATCCTCATCATCTGATAATGATCTCATGCTTTTCATCCAAATTCTGATTCTCATTATTCTGATTCAAATTCCAGTTCAAAAAGTATTCATTCTAAAGAATCTCATTCTAGTAATCATCATCAAACTGAAGAAGAAAATGTTAATGTTATTAACTGAATTCAACTTCAAAAATGATATCGTAATATGACTATTGTTGTCAACAAAGAATTCAAACTTTTTTCTAGAGTCTTAATTGATTCAGGTGTTGATCAAAATTATATTAGGAAAGGACTCATCCCTACAAAATACTTTGAAAAAATTACTGAACGACTTTACGGAACCAGTGGTAAAAAACTCAATATTCAATATAAACTTTCAAAAGTTCATGTTTATAATTCAAATATTTGTTTTAAAAGCATTTTTTACCTCGTGAAGGATTTGGATCAAGAAGTAATTCTTGGTACTCCTTTTATTGTTCAAATTTATCATTTTCAAGCAAATTCAAAAAGATTAAATACTACAATTTTTGGACCAAAAATTGTCTTTAAATTTACAAATCCTCCATCTTTTAAAGATGTTAATTTGTTAAAAGAAGCCACTATTTCAAAAATTGTCAATAATATTAATTTCAAGAAAAATCATATTAAATTTTTCAAAGAAGAAATTAAATTCAAAAGAATTGAAGAACTGTTGCAAGAATCTTCAATTATTCAAAAAATTTCAGACTTTCAAAATCGTATAGAGAAATAAATATGTTCAATTATTCCTAATGCCTTCTGCAATAGAAAGAAACATGTTTCTCTTCCCTATACTTCTGATTTTCATGAATCAAATATTCCTATAAAATTTCATCCTATTCAAATGATCAGAGATCAAAAGAAATTCAAGATCTTCTCGATAAGAAGCTAATTAGGACAAGCAAATCGCCTTGGAGCTGTTCAGCTTTTTATGTTAACAATTTTGCGGAAATTGAACGAGGAGTTCCTCGTTTAGTTATCAATTATAAATCTCTCAAAATACTGTTCTTCAATGGATTCATTGTCCTTTACCTCAAAAGAAAGACATGTTAAACATGTTATTCAAAGCTGTCATCTTCTCCAAATTTGATATGAAGTCAGGATTTTGACAAATTCAAATTAAAGAAGAAGATAGATACAAAACTATTGTTAATGTTCCTTTCGGACAATACGAATGAAATGTTATGTCTTTCGACCTCAAAAATGCTCATTCTGAATTTCAAAAAATTATGAATGACATTTTCAATCCATTTCAAAATTTCATTATTGTTTACATTGATGATGTTTTATTTTTTTCGAAAGCTTAGAACAACATTTGCATACATTCATTCATGTTGTAAAACAAAATGTTTTAGCTTTTTCAGCTAAGAAAGTTGTTTATTGCCAAAATAAGATAAGATTCCTTAGTCATACAATTCATCTTGGAACACTTACACCAATTCAAAGAAGTCTAGATTTTACTAACAAATTTTCTGATGAAATTATAGACAAAAATAGCCTTCAATGATTTCTTGATTGTGTCAATTATGTAGGAAATTTTATCAAAGAAATAAGAATCATTTGTGCTCCTCTTTTCAAAGGACTGTAAAAGAAACCTGACCCCTGGAGTCAAGATTGTACCTTAGCAGTCCAAAAAAACCAAAAAGCAATCAAAAGTATTCCAGGTTTTTCAATTCTTGACCTCACTACCTCTATTATTGTGGAGACAGACGCGTCAGAACTTGGGTATGGTGGTGTCTTTAAACAAATTCCTTCCAATTCAAGACAAGAACAACTAGTAAGATTTCACTTCCTATGTTTGGACTGATCCTCAAAAGAATTACTCCACTATCAAAAAAGAAATTCTCGCAATCATTCTTGTGATTTCAAAATTTCAAGACGATCTTATCAATAAAAATTTTATTCTCAAAATTGATTGTAAAGTTTCAAAATATGTTTTGCAAAAAGAAGTAAAAAATCTTGCTTCAAAACAAATTTTTGCAAGATGGCATACAATTCTTTATTGCTTTGATTTTCAAATTCTATACATACAAGGTTCTTCAAACTTTCTTGCAAATTTCCTTATGAGAAAATTCATACACAAAGAAGTGAGTGAAAAATGAGTTCTTCAGAAAAGAAGAAGAACAAAAGAAAGTTCAAATTCCCCTTACATCAATTGATGATTATATTCAAAATTCCTTTAGAGGATCAAAAGAAACACCCTCTAGTTCTCAAAATACAACCCTTGCTTCAAAAATATTCCAAAAACCCACTCAAACAATTCCAGAAAATAAACCTTCAAATTACCGCAAAACCCTTCAAATTGGTTCTAGAAAATTACCAGACATTAACCCTCCAAAATCATTCTCATATTTTACAAAGCCCGTATATCTTCCTGTTTTCGAAATGGAAACATCATGGGCTCAAAGAACTTCTTCACTCGAAGAACACCTTCAAGATTTTTTCCCTCCAAATTTTCATTTTCTTCCTTCAAACATAAAAAAATCTTGTGAGTATTATGAAGCAATTCTTATCAAGATAGGATATGTCATTATTACTCACACTCTAAATAATAAAAATACAAAATTCATTGATATTTCAAAAATATCTATCAAAAGGGTTTGGTCTTACGAAGATTGAGGACTGCATCATTGGGAAGATAAACGAATGAACATTTCAAAAACAGATTCATTCGAGTCAAAATTCAATTACTTGGACTATAAAGAGGAATGGTTCAATGTTTTCTTTTTTAGACTAGTGACACATTCATGATTTATATTTTTTAATCAAAATTGCCTATCACACTTTCCAAAATCGTTTCAAAATTGGTTCGAATTTTTTGGTCCTGATGAAACAATTTTACACAGTCTTACTCGTCAATGATTCGAACACTTCAAAAGTGAGGCAAAATCTTTTTTGAAACCCCAAGAAAATCTTTTGTTCCATTTTGCCCATTATCTCAAAGTATCGTGGATTTTTTATTGGGATGTCCACTTAATTCAAAGTCAAAATCCGCTAGAATACAAAGATTACAACGTCAAAAGAATTGTTGACGTTTCAAAATTAAATGGTGGTCAAAATTCCATGAAACAAATTGTTGTCTAAAAGCAGTAAATTCGTGAATTCAAGAACAACAAAATTTGGTGTGCCAAAATTATCTAAAAAAGAATCAGAGAAAAAAGCTGATTTTCTTGCTGGAAAAACCAAACTTTTAGCAATGTTCAATCAATGTTCTACACCAGAAGAACTTCAATTTTTTTCAGACAAAATTGCAGCACTTGCAGAAGTATCCTCAAAGAAATAAAGTTCAAATTCTTCTTCCTTATAAACTGAAGATTATGAACAAAACAATGAAAATATGTAGGGGTGGGCATGAGTTGGGTTGAGTCGGTTTTTGCTTCAACTCAAACCTAACCCAATATAATTGGTTTAATCAAAATTTAACCCAACCCAACCCAACATAACCCATGTAAAGGTTGAAACCCAACCCAATCAAGTATCGGTCGGGTTGGGTTGGGTTGGATTGGTCGGTTTGTGACGATTTGTCAACAAAAATTAAAGTCATCTAATTTTCTATTATACTAAATTCTAATAGATAAGATTAAATTTTAAGTAAATAAATAAAATCATCTATTATCTTATTCAATTCTCATTAGTCGAGTTTACAAAGAACAAAGTACATTTAACATAATATGAGAAACTTATATTGCATTTCTTGTGGAAAGAACAGTAAGCTCCTCCTTTAAAATACACCAAGGTAATTACAATTACACTATCTACTTATACTTTTTAAGTTTCTTTTACTTTTTTAGGTATTTTATTTTATTTCATATATATATATTTTTTAAAGTGGCGGGTTTATTCGATTTTCATGAGTTAACTCATAACACGACCCGACCTGACCCGCCTACAAAGCCAACCCACCCAACCCGTGTAAAAATAACAAAAAAATCGACACAACCCGGTCGGGTTAGTTTGGTTTGGGCTGGTTCGATCGGGTTTTGCCCACCCCTAAAGACGTGCTTTGGATATAACATTGATGATCTTACTAAAGAAGAAACTCTCCAACAAAATGACTACATGAACCCAGTTTTTTTGAAGATTTTACCGGGCTCAAAAATCAAAAGAAATACTCTTCAAAATGTGTCCGCCGGCCAACCAATTGTTTTTACCAACCTTGCCGACATACAAAGAACAATTATCTTTATTAAAACACATTTAATAAAGATTCTTTTCCAAAGTAGGGAATGTCGAAAGAAAATTTCAAAAATTCCAAAAAAGAAGATAAGTGGCAAACATCTTTGAATCGAAGGATAGACATCTTTCAATCGAATGATAGACATATTTAATCAGTCTATTTATCAAGATTTTTATTTTTCAATTCAATGTAATTTTAAGTCCGAAATCTCAACTATATATTGCACTTCATTTTGAGGTTTTAGACATAACGAAAAATAGAGTTTATTTTTCTGCGTTTCAAAAAAGTTTAAAATCCTTGTAATTTTATATTTCTTTGTAATCTTCAAAATTTTCAATAAAATAATTTTGTCTTCAAAATTTCGTTGCTGGCATACGTATACTTTCTCCCTCCTTCGACACTATCTCTACCATCGCTACTCTGGGCCCCTTTTGGTACATGATGAAATAAAATTGGGTAGGTTGAGTTTAACAAACCCATTGTTGTCTCCTAGCTCTTTCGGCCAACCCTCACTCTGATTTTCGGAAGATGTCTGAATCCGGCGCACACATCCTGATCTTCCCTTATCCTGCGCAGGGGCACATGATACCCCTCCTCGATTTCACCCACCACCTAGCCACCGCCGGTCTCACCCTAACCATTCTTGTCACCCCTAAAAACCTTCATCTCCTCCACCCTCTTCTCTCCAAACACCCCTCCATCAACACCCTCGTTCTCCCTTTTCCGCCGCACCCCTCCATTCCCACCGGCGTTGAGAACTCCGTCGATCTCCCCGCCGGTGGTTTTCGGTCAATGATGCACGCGTTGGGTCAACTCAAAAGTCCTATACTCAATTGGTTCGAGAGCCACCCTTCGCCACCGGTAGCCATCATTTCCGACATGTTCTTGGGATGGACCCACAATCTTGCCGTTGAGCTTGGAATTCGGAGGTATGTTTTTTACCCCTCCGGTGCCTTGGCTATTTCTGTAATTTTATCCCTGTGGTGTGATATGCCAAAAAGACAAAAGTCGGAGGACGAAAATGAAATGATAAAATTTACCAAGATACCGAATTGTCCGGTTTACCCGTGGTGGCAGCTTTCTCCTATATATCGTAGCTATGTCGAGGGAGACCCAGTTATGGAATTTATCAAAGATGGGTTTCGTGCGGACGTGGTGAGTTATGGGCTTGTGATCAATACATTTAGTGGGCTAGAAAGGGTTTACTTGGATTATTTGTGTAAAGAGTTGGGCCATGATAGAGTGTGGTCCATTGGACCGGTGTTGCCTCTGGATGATGTTTGGCCGGTGGAGCGAGGCGGGCCGAGTGAGGTTTTATCTAGTGTAATATGCTCGTGGCTCGACACGTGTCAAGATCAAACTGTAGTTTTTGTATGTTTTGGGAGCCAAGCAGTGCTAACAAACAAGCAAATGAAGGAACTAACCTTGGGCTTGGAGAAAAGTGGGGTGAAATTCATCCTGTGTGTTAAGGGCAAGACGAAAGGACACGTGGACGACGAAGATTATGGTGATATCCCACCCGGGTTCGAGGATCGTGTGGCCGGGCGAGGCCTCGTGATCAAAGGATGGGCTCCACAAGTGTTGATACTTAGGCACAAAGCAATAGGTGCATTCTTGACACATTGCGGTTGGAATTCTACACTTGAGGGGATTGTAGCTGGGGTGCCAATGCTGGCATGGCCAATGGGAGCAGATCAATTTGCCAATGCAACCTTATTGGTTGATGAACTTAAGGTTGCAATAAGAATATGCGAAGGGGATGAAACTGTACTTGAATCAAATGATTTAGTGAAGTTTTTGGGTGAGGTTACAAGTGAGAAATGGATAGAGAAAAGGGCTATTGCAAAAAATTTAAGCAAGGTTGCATTTGAGGCAAATGGAAAGGAGGGAAGTTCGTTCAAGAATTTGGATGCATTTGTAAGGCATGTTTCTGAATTAAGGTTTGGTGTGTAGTTTGGATCAACCATTTGGAACTTGTCGTCTCTTGTGACAATTTTATGTTCCCTACTTTGTACTACTACTGCATATTAATTTGAAGAAAAATAAGTTAAAATCTTGTCTGATACCCTATAGTTCTTAGATGAAGTGAGTGGTGTAAGAGTCATAATGTAAGTTTGCTCCGTAATAAATACCTGAGCTTGAACCGTTACGCTTGAAAATGTTTTCACATAAAAATGAAGATAACCAAGGTCAATTGAAAATTCTAATTCAAACTTCACACATATTATCCAAAACGCAAAATCAAACACACTTAACTTCATAATTTACGAAGATCAAAGAGCAAATACATCTATAATTTGCAACACCCTTCGTGCAAAAAACGATTGGATGATATAATAAACAAGATTTTCACTTCTAGTCTTAAGAGTCTAAAGATTAATACCACCAAATCCTCCAACCAAACGCGTCATTCACATGAAGTATAGATAGGGCTCTACCCATAATTTTTTAATCTTCTTACACCCATTTAATTCATTTTATAGTTAATCTGCTTCTTAATCACTTTCCAAAAATAGACTTAATCCACCAAATCCCTTTGGTGTCCTTAGGGGCATCTTCACTCTCTGGTGGAGGATTAGCCTGTGGTGTCTTGTGGAGCTTCTCAACATCATACCCTTGATCTTTAGCCTTTTGTACAAGCATATTGTATGTCTCCTCATCAAGCTGTGGCTGCCTGCACAACATCTGAAACAAACACACACAGAAAATGAACCACCATATCTTGGAACATATCAAGATCATCAATTCATTTGCAACAATTTTGTATGTTCTCACATTTGAGAATGCCTTTAAACTCTGACCCAGTCTTTCCCTTGTCAACAAATCAAGTGAAAAGTATGCTAAAACTACATAAATTACCTAAGTAAATATTATAGGAAGAAGGTGAACAAATTCATCACATTGCATTTGATACGTTGAATTGGACATAAGCCCATGTTTAGTTGATAAAATTTTAATCACACGTTTCATAAATCACAACTTTCGTGGACTTTTACACATTTTATCAACTTTATCGTATTCTACTAAAAAAAATTGATTTTTAGCTCTATTCACCAGGGGCTAACATTCAAGACAAGTCTAAGAGGTACCAAGCTTAGCCAAACATGTTCTAGAATAATCAAGAATTTCAATATTCAAAGAAGAACAAGAAATCATCCAAATCAAGAAACCCACCAAAAAGCTAAAAATGTGAACATGAAAGAAGCAAAAAAAATACAGCCACATGAATATATATGAAGAGAGAGAGAGAGAGAGAGAGGGAGAGATACCCAAAGATATCTCCTACTGGGCTGGCCAATCAAAGCATGCTGATAATCATCATCAATATACAAAACCCAGTAATCCCCAGTGACAGGAATTATAGGCAAAAAAGGGGGCACATAGAATCTGACTTTGAGTTTTGCCTCGTCACTTTTGGGATCAGCCTTCCATGCAGTGCCTTCAATGGACCCTCTTTTGCCATCAGTCCATGTCTCGTTAAGAACATGTACAGTTCCATCATGGTTCAAAGTGTAAGTGGCTCTTGTGTTGACACCATTTTTGGGCTGAAATCTTGATGGAAATGAAGCTATTTCGTACCATCTTCCCATGTATTTTTCCATGTCCAAACCCTTCACCACTTCCATCTCTTTCTTGGCCATTTTTTTAAGATTATTTTTGCAATCAAATGAGAGAGAGATGTAGTCTTTTTTATAGCGTGCGAAAAGAGGGAGGACAATTCTGGATAAATGTAACATTCTAGAAAAAAGGTGTATGTACATACATTTTTTTGCTAGAAAGCCAACAGAATCTCACATGGGGTGTGGGCCCCACATAAATAAAATATTGGAAAGAAAATGACGGGCCCCACCTATATTTGTATTCTGTTGATTTTCTGGCCAATTATATTCGTTACACCCAGCTTGGCTAAACATTCTATTGTGGTGGTATACGTGGACAGCTGATAGACTTACACGTGAGCTACTTGGGATATTTGGAAAGTGCTAGAAAATTGGGTTGTTTCTGGAATATGACCAAAGTACAGAGGGGTAGTGTCCACGTAGGTGAGTGAATTATTATTTGATCAAAAATGCTAATGTAACAAGGTCGGTGACCGACCAAAAAATAGGGAGTCGAGGTGGCCTTTGATTTTTACTACAATTCTGATCAAGGGTCGAGATGAAGCCACCTCGACCCCCTGTTTTTGGATCGGCCACCGACTCAGTCACTGTAGCGCGGTTGTTATTTGAAAAATGATTAATCATTAGTATTCATTTATTATTTATAGTTTTTTTTAAAAATTGTAAATTATAATCTCTTAAAATTTAATTTAATCACTTTTCAAATATGGTTGTCAAATGATCCCATTGTATTTGTCGAATTGGGCTGCGTAATGAATTAATTTTAGTGAATTTTTGAACTATGGTAGAATAAATCGAACGAGTTTGAAAACTAAAACCTTTTTCAAGGCCAATTAATTAATATTTATTTGAAAGAATGATCGAAACGAGTATGAAAACTACCACCCTTGTCGTCTAAAATGATCAAAATCACACGCATTCTGAAATTTAAATGGGAATAAAAAGTCGCACTTGTTTTGTATATATTAAAATCAGATTTTTAGTAAATTTTGATAAAAATTAATAAAATGTGTGATTGAAAAGTTGTGGATCTCATGAAATATGTGGTTGAAATTAATTGTTAACTTTGATTTAAATAAAAATTTGATTTTTAATCCATACCGAACGGGCTAAATAATAATAAATTATGCAGCCTATAAATAAGGACCCAAAAATCTCACTTGCCGAAGAATGAGGATGGAAAGAGAGGAGGGTTTTTTCAAGGGTGGTTGCCCCTCTCTTCGAAATCGTGGCCGATGATTTCACAACTTTTTGCTTCGTCAACAGCCCTTGTGATGTAATGTGATGATGAAAATGATGATGATCCGCAGTAATTTCCATTCCTCCAAACCCTAATCCTTAATCCGAACTATTTTTTTTCGCGAAGAGAAAGCATTGAGTTCTGACATGTGCTCAATGTTTGAGATCGGTTTTTCCAAAATGTGCAGTGATTAATCAATTTTTGAGGCTGTGATGAATTTTTGAAACAGAAGATCAGATATAAGCGAATCCGTATATTGGCACGGCGAAATCTGATTTGCCCCATCTCAATCGGCAACTGATTTTTGCAGCCATGGCGGATTCAGCCTACGTTGTTTTTACGATAAAGGTGAATCTGAGCCTCCGATATTCTTCTAACAGATCTTTGGTGTTTTTGTGTTAAAAAAAAAAAAAAAGAAGCTTTTTGCTGATTTTTTTTCAGTAATCAGACTTAATTTAATTCTATAAAAAATGAAAAATATATAATTATTTATTTCGAAAAGTACTTGCCATAAACTCTATTTTTTAGGTGCATATTCTAAATTTTTAAATACTTCGATTCTTTATATTTAATACTTAATTTATTATGTTCAAAAAAATAATTATTGATTTTCGCTATTTTTTTATTTTCACAAGCTTCCCTTCAAATTTTTATATTATTTTTCGAAAATTGAAATATATGCTATAATAAAGCTAACTAGCATTACTCTTTATTTGTAAGCTTGGTGGAGTGTAAACAAAATTATTCTATTTTTACAACTCAATGTTTCACTTATAAGTAAACTTATTTTGTGGACTTCTAACCTCAGCCAAACATTGGAACAAGGAAGAGCGTTTCACTTGCAAGAAGACTCGTTGCAATGAGTAATTGACATTTTTATATTTGGAATTCCGTTAAGCCAAGTGGACATTTTCGTTGAGATGAGTGATGGATGGATAACACACGAAATAATTGAGTAATCAATAAGATACATTTTAAATTACAATTATTAAATAGTAGCTCGAGTTAAACTTTATCGACTATTCATATAATTTGCCAATCAAAAAGGTAAACAAATTCCCAAACAGCAAAACTCACTGGCTCTTGGGGAATGGAGAATGAATGAAACAGCAAAACTCCTTCGGGACGTAACAAAATTCATTAAACTTCTATCCCATGCTACCGATTCAAACCGATCAAACATGTAGGATTACTATCAACTTGGCAAATTCAAAACCCAAAACCGCTGCAATTTCCCATAGGATGAAATTCAGAAACAAGTAAAACAGATAGAATTTAATCTCAACATGGACGACGAAGAGTAATAATTTCCTCCTTTCATTACTTCTATATCTCATTGGCTTCAAAACACAACGAAAATCCAAAATTCCAAGTCGAGAAAGCCTGTAAAAATGTAAAAGATAACTAATCCACATACAACACAACACATTAGCAACCATATTCTTCCAGCTCTAATCATATTCCGCCCACAGTCCCATATGCAGTCCAAAGCTTCATTTTCATACATTCCCTGGGTTTTGTGCATTCTCCAAATCTCAACATTCTAATTCCTGGAGCTTCATCTTCATTCAGCAAGTGTAAATGTTATCTACTAGCAGTACACTATAAATAGATGCCATAAGTAACTAAAAAGTTATAGCATGACTCAATCAGCAGCAAGTGTAAATGTTACATTTAATCGTGTATACATGTACTCAAAGTGAAAAGTAAATGCCGGAGTCATGGTTACAGTTATGTCGTTCTATTAAAGAGGTGCAGGATAATGGCAGGTCACCAAGTACGCATGTTGCGACGGTAAAAAGCGTGCAAAGCAGATAATATATATTGGGGAAGATGAATCAAAGATCAACCAAAGTTCTTCCGCTCACTTCAAATTTCCAGTCCACCTCCTTTTTCGTGCTGGACGCTCTGGTTTGATCTCTGAATCTGGCTGGGTTTCAATTTGCCCTGAAGGCAAAGGTTCACTTTCCATTTTCTTAATCACCATGGCATCCTTTTCACTTGGCATGGGGAGCTTGAAACGCTCACTCCGCTTCTTCAACTTTGCAACTGTGTCCAAGTGTATGTCATCCATTGGTTTTGTATCAGCATCATTGACTTCTGCACCTCCAGTGTCTTTCTCTTTAGATGAAGGCTGGGTCTTATCCTCCACCTGTTTTGAAGGTTCATTGGGAAGCACCAAGGAAGCACCACTGGCTGTGTACGTGTCTATATCTTTACTCTTCGATGAAGATGATTTGGAAGTTATAGTTATACCAAAATCCCTGTCCTTGTGGCTCGTCCATCGTTCCAGTTTAGAGCGTCCTTGCCTCGAGCTAGGCCGCTCCTCATCTGATGAGACCTCCTCCTTGTGCTTTCTGGAAGAATGACTATTCACACGGATCTCATTTTCACCGCTTTCATGATTGGTTCTGCTTCTCGATTTCACCTAAAGGGGGAAAGTGGAGAATGAAGAAAAACAATAATCTTTATTATCTGGAGCAATTATTAATCTAGAAAAACTCCACTTCATTATATAAATAGCCATTTGATAGTTCACTTTCTAGCTTTTTGGTTCATTTCTGTCCAAGTGAGCAGTGCATTCTTGATTTGGACCCTCGGTGGTTTAGTAATGCAATGCCACCAATCAACAGCTCCAGATTCACCATGCACTCCAAATTTCCATAAAATCATTTAATGAGGAGTTAAAGTGTGTGTGATGGATTGGAGTCATTGATCTATGGACTGTAACTAGTTTTACCAGTGAGGCTCCAGATCCGTGAATTCTCATCAGATGAAATTGCTGGCGTGATTTATGTCAATGATACAAGTAATAAGTCATCTCTCTCTCATTCCCCTCCCCCCTTCTCTTCCAACACCCACCCCACCCCCACCAATATTACAATGACAAAATGCACATTGTCTCTCTTATTATGGTTCCGAGTTAAATGAATCTGTAATGATATGAACACAAAACAATGAGGAAGTAGGTGGTTTATCAAAAAAGTCAGGTGAATTAAAACTTTTACAGATCATGAGAAATTAACGAGTGAATCATATCGATTTATTCAGATACAAGAGCAGAAGAAAAAGACGTAAGCCAAAACTTAAAGAGTGTGATTTTGTATTCTTGATATGGCAATCTTGCCATTTGACCTCACTCACGAATCACCACAAAGAAACTACGAAAGTAAACTGAACTAATACAAAATTCACTAAATGAATTTTCAGTTACCTACCAATTAGTTGAGTGACCCAAAAGATAGACACGCAAGAATTGGTATGCTGTTTAGTATATGTCAAATATAGTTCTCTTTGGTGTCTATCTGGAGAACATATAACACTCCATTGTCGCATTTAGCATCCAATAATTTTCTCTCTCTTCTTTCTCATTATAAATCATAACATTATTAATTTGGCACCACCTTCTGCTCTATGGGATAAAATAGGAGAATAGTACATCACATTTGAATAGTTGGAGAAAGGAAATTATAAGATTTTATGATCAGAATATGAGCAGATAAGAGGGAAAAGTGAGGGATACTTTCCTTTAAGAAACAGTTATTACCATTTCATTTCAAATATATTTCTATGTTATTGTTAAACAAAAAAGGAAGAACGTGGTTCATCAATTTACTTTTGTAAGTGAAGTTACTGAAGTGGTTCCCATCATTCATGAAGCTACCTTGTGATTTATTTTGACGGGAAAAAGAAAAGTGTGAGGCAAAAATACTATATTCCACTTCAATCTAGCATGCGTTTTCCCTTTCATCTTCCTTTGGTTATTTTTCATGATTAAGACTGCAACTTGTGAAATTTCTGTAATCAAAGAACTATGGTATCACATGGAACTTGCACTATAGTACATAAACAGCCAAGGTATCAGAATCTATGTTTCTATGCTTCAAACAACCAAAAAAATTGATGGAGATCCCATGAGACATCTATGGAAGACTTTCCAACTTAGATAATTATTTTAGGTAAAGTAAATAGGGTTTTATACATTTCCTAGTATTTTATTAGTTATTTCTTTCTTAAATTAGCTTATATTAAACCCTATGAAGTGACTTATGTATTATTAGTTAGACTTGATAATTAAATAAACTCATATTTCTCCCTCTAATCTCTTGATTCTCTCCCTTCTCTTTCTTTCTTCTCAAGTCTCATTCTTGTTAATTCATGTGTTTGTTATCAACAATTTTAGTAGACTTCTAATCTGTTGGTCCCACATGAAATACCTTCATTTTCTATTCATGAATTCGTAGTTCATCTTTTGAGTATACCCTCTTCTTTAATTAATGTTTTCAAAATTATTGAGTTTTAAAAATAAAATAAAAACTGACATCTGCCCTTTTTACATTTCTAAGTTGGCAAGAAGTGGTCCAGATTTCAGGATTCATTAAACAGCTAGGAACGACAAAAAAGGAGCACAAAATGGATATGCTTCTAACTCCCAACCAATAATCTTTTGAATTTCAATTAAGGTATTGACTTTATAGAGATTCAAAAGGTATCTCCTGCTAGTATTGTCAGAAGTTCTCGTCTGACTTCTGAGTGCCAAAATACAATTTAAAGACAACACAAAAATATGAACCCAAGTGCATGACAATGTTTTTTCTTGAATTCAAGCACCGCATCTTTGAGCAAAGGGAAATCTGGATACACGTGTACTACTATCCTAATATACTTCATATCAAGTATAAGCCTAAAATGTATTGCATGATGGGAAGCTAGTCTAGCAAGTTATGAAACATCTGTTTCGAAGAATGGGTAGGTCAAATGCATTCATCTATGACATGAAAGTAACATCCAGTTTGTATAAATTTAAAGACGTCTCGTATCACCTATACAGATCAGTGAGAGAGTGAGACAGAAGGTCAGGGAGCTTTTGAAATACCTAAAACATGAGGACGAAAAATACGTAAAAAATGAGGACAAAAGACTCAAGCACGGGATTGGATAAGCTTTCTTGTTTTGTGCAGGTGGAGATGATAGTTGTTTTTGAAGCTCTCAGATTTGCCGAGGCATCATTACTACTTTCGATAATCCTTGAGAAATTAAGCCCCTGTTTGAGCGTCATTGTATAAAACTCATTTTTCACCGAAACTTTTTCAATTACACATTCTCCCAATAAAATAGTTTTGCATGGAAACCCAAAAATATTTCTTACTTTTTAACCACACTGTCTCCAAAAAAAATCACTTTTTGCACAATCTATTCTCAAAAAATGTGCTCAAACAGGGGCTAAGTCTTCTTTTTTGCTATAACAACAGCACATAATTCTCCTTTTCCTAACATATTCACGTGAATACAGATTCCCTTTCCATATACCCTTTGCACACAATCCCCACCCCCACAAAAAGTTAAAAAACCACACAGGCAAGCATATATGAAAACCAGAATACCAGGTCAGAAAATATCAAACCAATTTGTTGATTTCTGGATAATCAAAATATTACTAGTTATACAATTTATGTAACCTTGGGAGTATTAACTCATTGCATAAGCAGAGTTTCTACAGGAAGCTATGCTTGCATGGAATGCTATTATATTGGGTCTAAAGAAAGACATACCATCTCACTTCTCTGTCCACTATGCTCATCCTGATTCCTCTTAGAAGGGATCAAGAAATTATGATCTCCGCTCTCAGATTCTTTACTCTTTCTACTGCTCTCCTTGTGTTTATTTTCATGCAGCCTAGAAGTTTCAGAAGCGAAGGCAATGCGTTCTTCACGAGTGGTAGACCTTTCTTGTCTTGTTCTTTTTTCATTGTTATTGAGTTGATTCACACGTGCATAAACATCTTCATAACCCCTATGCTGTGAAAGACTATCATTTTCAGCTCGATCCCTTCTCTTAAGTTGCTCGCTCTGCCGCCCGATATCCTTCGAGTAATGCTCTCTACCAGATCCCTTATATTCATCTTTCCCTCTAGAATGACTGGTCCATGTTTTGTCCTCAGCACCTCGAGCACTTCTCATTCCTGCCCGTGTTTCCTCTCTCTCTCGCCTTGATAAAATTTCTTCATGGGACGGTTTAAGCCTATGCCATTCATCACGTTCTCTCTGCCTCTCATTCCTCTCCCTCTGAAATGATCCTTCTTCTTTTAATCTAACATAATGTAGATCATCATTCTTCAATCTAGCCTGGTCATCTCTTTTTCGCTGATCAAAGTCATCATCCCTTTCTCTCTTCCGCCGGCTGCTACTTTCTCTATGATTATGCGAGAATCCTTCATTTTCAGTGTATTCCCTACTTATAGGTACCTCTTCCTTACTTCTTTTGCTGTGAAGATCATCCACTTTTTCATTCCATCTCTTGAAATTATCGACCCTATCTCTATGTTTTGATCCCAAATCTTTATCATGATTATCTCCCCTCCAGCTGCTATTGTCCAACTGATTTTTCGGCTGTTGATATTCATCTTTTTCACTCCTCTCACTTTCTCTAACCTTGCTCCGATGCCTGGACCCAATTTCCCCACCATGCTCTCTGTTTCTTGTGTCACCGAATCTCATCCTTCTCCCATATATATCCTCATCTCTTCGATGCCAGCCTCCTTCAGAAACATCACTCTCCTTTCGTCGGTCTATACTCTCACTTTTCACATGCCTACGAACAGATGAGTTAGGATCCACACCTCTACGTGCATAGGAATCTTCTCCCCCTTTCACTGCTATGTGGTGTCTTCTCGTTTCTTGTCTCTCACGATGACCTCTCCTATTATCATTATCCTCATATACCACTTGTCTCCTTATGTTATCAGTGCCCATAGAGCGATCATCCTGAAGGACTTCGTCCTCAACACCGTCGTGGAACTTCCGATAATCTTTACTACTTTCTGATCTTGGTTTGCTGTTTTCACTACTTCTTGCAGCTTTTGAGTCTTCTCCGCCATCATTTTCTTGGGAAGGTTCTTCCCCTCGTGAACTTTGTGCTTGTTTCCTTGTAGAATGCATTGAATTCTCCTCATCCTGCGGATTACTTTTTGTGGTTGCATCCAAAGCCATTTCCTCCCTTTCCATTTCAAAGCTTCCACCATCTGCTACCAAATCTTCCTCAGTATTAACCCTATCACTCACAGCCTGCTCCCCTGCAGACCCAATGGTGACTGGAGATGACACACGACTGTGATTACCATCCCCACTGTCAAATGATTCTTCCTTCTCATTATCACCATGTTGCTTTTCTCTTTCATTTTCACCAGAAGCCATACTAGGGGACCCAACAACTGCTCTTTCATTTGTCCGCCTATGAAAGAAATTTAAAAGTGTGTTAGATTGTACGAGATACAAGTTGTTTAAATGAGTAAATTTAGTGTTCGTTTGGGAGAGATTATTTGAAGTGAAAATTGATTTTTCATTTTTGAGAATATGTGGTTAAAAGGTAGGGAAAAGGTATGCTTCCACGTGCAAAATTATACTATTGGGAGAATATGTGGTTGAAAATGAGTTTTGATGAAAAATGATTTTCAAATAAGCTGTGCAAAACAAACCTTTAGATATTTCTATACTAATTATTAAATGAAAAACCAAACTAAGTTGCATTAACTATAGACATATATTTGACACAGTAGATTCTTGGACTTCTTTTGCTTATTGCGAACAACAAAAGGAAAAAAGGTAAATGACAACACGAAGAATTTTAACCTCAAGCGCAATAATCAGAACAGATAATTTGGAATGAAAGTTGATCAAATTCTTTTAGGAACGGTACATCATTCGACATGTTTATATTCACTGATGTGACAATCTCACAAAAAGTAGTACAACACCTGACAGAAAATCACAAGAATATTTTCCATCCCAAAACTAGTTAAGCATTCTTCAAAATATTAATCATCTAGAGATAACTTATGTCAATTAGAAATGGGCTCCCATCCGTTGTAATCTTCCCAGTTTCTGCTATTAGGTACTTTTTAACCTTTCTAGCAATGTGTTTTTTCCCCAGCGAAAATCAATTATATAAAATCTCATAAATTAGGCTTCTTTCTTTTACAGGTACATGAAATTTAGTATCCTGCTTTACATAAAGCAGCTACAGGACACTCTACAAAGTCCATATCTAATATCAAGCAAACTCATTAGTTCCTAGAAGTTATCAAATTTGCACAAGGTTTGCATAAAGTGAAGCACCACCAGTCAACCACAGAAAAAGGACAGGAAAAGGAAACGAGTGGATGTGGAAATAATGTACAGATATGCATACAACATGTTACTACCTCTCCTCTTGAGGGACACCAAACTCCCGACCAGTATGGTATTTCCCACGTGCTTCTAAAGGTAAATGCAAAGCATCATCTCCTACAATCTCATCATCACGAACAGTTTTTGTGAACTGTGCACTTCCTCCAACCAGTTCCTTCTTATGACCATCATATGCTTGTGAAAAGACATCATTATTTTCAGTATCCTCCTGTGGAAGGTCATCAATCTCATCATCCCCTCTGAGATCCACTTTTGAAGGATCATTTTCTTGTTGCTCAGCCACGTCTTCGTCATCTGCCTGACATATAATCTGTTCGCCAAAGAACACCAGTAGTGTGACACAGATGCAACGATGTTAATGAATTAGTCCAGTGCCAAGAGAAGAAGGTGACTGCTCACCTCAATAATTGCATCTGAATCATGCATTCGTGGGCGCCTGGTGTCAATGGATGGGAGACGATCGCCAGAACCAGTTTCTATTGGTATTGGTCTTCCAACAGGCTAGCATCAAATGAAAGAAAGTTGGTGAGAAGATGATTTTGATAGCAAACTCCGTATATTACTGCCACTGGTTTGCTTACAAAAACTTCAATGAAATTTTATTTCCTCTTTTGTCAGGCAAAGCTGAAAATGACTTTCTAAAAAGGATATAAGAGAAGAAGACAGTGGCCAAGATATTCCATAGAGATCCTAAATCGAGAATAAAGGTAGCATGAATAAAGGCTTCCAAATCTCCTCCAACATGAATCATAAAAAAAATATAGAATACATAACGTACAAGAGGGTGCCGTCCACGTGCTGATGCTCTTGCTAAGTCATTTGCACCAGCATCTGTTCTAAGATTTGCATTTTCAGATGGAATATCTTGGATGCCGACTGCAGCTGCAAGCTCGGGGGGAAGATCAGGATCATACTCCTAAAATACAACAGCAAGCGAAAAGAGAAAAATCAAGTAAATAAAACTCATGAACACTTTCTCAATCAAACGGATGGTAACAGAAAAGCATCATTTACAAATAGCGTCCAAATGATGTATATCCATACATGCACAAGCTATACACACACACACACGTGTGAGCTAAAGGGCAATACATGCACAAGCCATATATATATATATATACACACAGACGTGTGTGAGCTAAAGGGCAATAAACTACCTGTTCTGTTCTTCCACTTTCATAGACACGAATCTTGCTTTGCATAGTCGTCTCAATGCGGAGTTGTTCCTAAAGATTTTATTTCAACTTCTTAGCTTCCACTTCCATGGATCGATAAACAATTAAGCACAAAAAATGTTCGCATTTGACAAATTTAAATAAGCATGGAAGCCAATGCAAACTCAAACCTACCAGTTGTTTGCAATAATCTTTCCAGGTGTCCTCATTTAAGCCGAAGTTGAAAAAGTCCGAGACATCAATGCCCGGAAGTCTCCATGATTTTTCCTCAAAACTATCGATATCAACTTCAAATATGGTCCTATTAATAGAGAGAGAGAGAGAGAGAGAGAAAAGGGAATGAAACTCTTATCATCAGCATGCAAATTATCCAGAAGGAGGCAAATCCCCGGCATTTCATCAGCAGAAACTAGATACACCATCACATATGATCACTAATCAGGACAACCAAACAAGTGTAAATTGTAGAAAGAAACATCCTATCCAGTCTTTGCAACCATGGGTATAGATGTTCATATTTTACCCCAAAAAAATAATGACAATTCAAAATGTGAATAAGACCACGAGCAAGTACTAGCATAATGAAACTAATTTTAAGAATTGATTCCAAATCAAAACAGAAGAACCTATTAAGAATTACCAGAAAGTCTGACAACCAGATGTAACACAGGGCACCAGTATTCTGAAGTAGTAATAGAAGCTACAATGCGGTACCATTGTGATAATAAAGATCTATTAATGCACTTAAAACTCACATTGAAAGTAACAGGTTAAGCAGGGTCCAAAAACAATGGTCTAGTGTCAGGTTCTATATTTTCAGATAATGCCAAAATGAAAGAGCAATACCATGATAAAACAAGATGTCTATACCATTTTGTCACAACACTCAACTGATGTAACAACTTATCTTTTTGGCATTTATATTCAAACACTGGTCACACACAACAAACAACTCTGCTCAGATTTTCTTCTTCAATATGTCACATGCTCAGCACAAAGTTTAGGACATACAATGCTAACTTCAGATAGACAAACAAATGATTACCTTTTTCCTAATAAATTTGTAGTGAAAAAGGTCATTTATCAATAAAATCCTGCCACAAGCAGCATTTTGTGGAATAATCAGAAAGTTTTTTTACAATAGTTTTATCGGCAAAGAAGGATTAACTTTTTACCAGAAGATTGACTCCTTTTTTTCAGATGTGCCGTAATGGATGTTTGCAAAGGGAGGGAGGGAGGGAGAGAGAGAGAGAGAGAGGGACAATTTAGAAGGTGTACCAGCCGCTCCCCCAAAAAATGGTAGCAGAATAAGACACATTCAAGCGAGTCAATGCACTGCCCAGCTAAAGTCCAACCAACCTCAACTTCACTGAGGTTCTTCAGAAATTTTAATTATTAATGTGATCCCCCATAAATGTGGTGAAATCATACACATAAAGCTGGAATGTTTAACAGAATTAAGTTATGGAATTCCATATTATTGAGTATAATGGATTCAAATGTTTTTACCTCAACATAGGGGACAAGAGAGAGAGAGAGAGAGAGAGGATACGAGGTAGAGAGAGAGAGAGAGATTAAGAAAGAACACATGCCAATTTCTTCCTTAATAAGTGAAAATATTGCCGATAGTGCATATGGCTCATCAGCTAAGAAAAGAAAGGATGATCAAAGAGCTAGTAAGTGGAAAAGGTTAAAGGAATAGAGCAAGATAACAAGCCCTTTAACAGCTCACTTCTTTGACGATCATTTTTAAACAATTCATTGCATAATGTATCTTGTGGACATTCTAAGCAATACAATTAACTTGGAACTAAGCAACAATTAGTCAATTCCATGAACAAAATAGAGCGCACATTTCTAATTATATTCTCCATGACCTACCCAATAATATTATACAATGTTCATATAAATGCAATTGCAGATATGGTTACCCACTTCCTTTAAATGTCCTCCAATGATGTAGTGGTTCCCAACTATTAGTCACATCCCCTAAAGAAGTTGTAAGGACTTATTTGAGCCTCATTTTTTTTGTGTAAAATGCATTTTGGAATAACAGATTGATGGAGAATGTGCGCTTAAGAAATAAGAAAAAGTTTTAGGTTCGCGTATAATATTATTTTATTGAAGAATGTGTGGTTGAAAAGAAGAGAGAGAAAAATGTATTTTGGAAATAATGGAAATCAATCAAGGGCTAAATTTATGAATTATGATCATGTATGTTCTTGTATGTGCGTGTATAACATAAAAGGGGAGGCCATCAGACTTGAAATTTAGAAACCATTGATTAACCGGGAGAATGGACCTCATTTGGATATAATTCAACTATACGGAACTTTCATATCGTATCTTGCCAATTTTTTCATGAAGAAAAGAAGATATGAGTCTGTGAAAAATGGGGGAAGAGTTATTTGTTACCGATGGAAAAGATTATTAATCACAATGCCCGAGAACGCAGAAAACAATTATAATGTCACCATGAAAGTTCCAAATTCAATCTACGATGTTCCTATTGACTAGTAAGGTGCCTAACTTTGTAAATAAACTGCATTTGGATATACAAGTTGTGTAACTTGTAAGACACTTGCAAGCTTTGCAGGTATCATGTTAAAAAATGATGTTAGTCCCACTCAATCATTCCATTAAGCAGTCATATGCCATTTGGAATTATTGATTTAGCGACACAAAAGAAAACAAAGACAAGAGTGTAACAACCAAGAATCGAGAATATCGTTGTATTGAAGCTCAGACATATGCACCTAAATAACATACTTGTGTGATGGTAGAGTGAAATCCAATCCACTTCCAAAACCACGCCCTGCTGCATTAGCTCCCCAACCAGGCATTCCATAACCTGGACGAAAACCTTTCTGCATGGGGACAGCACCAGTTATTCCTGATGGTCGCCAATCACCTCTACCACGTCCAGCAGTAGGGCCAATGGGGACAGTTGGACGAACTTGACCAGGGGTTCCACCAGGTCCCACAGGAGCTGCTCCAGGCATAGGCGCTGCACCAGGTCTCACGTACTAAATGGTTCCCAGTGAAAAAAAAAAAGGAGGGAAAGAAAACGAAGTTAATAGTAGAAGAAGCAGTTAAAAGAATGCAGTAAAGCTTTCAAGCAATATAATTCTAAATTAGAACAAATCAAAAAGTAGTGAGCTTCCACATTCAGGAAATTCAAAACAGCTATCTTTCACTATGTTAAGGCAGACCCCATGGAGATTTAGCAAAGAGAATTTAGTCAGCAGACTGAGTACTGCATAGGATAGAAATAACATAAGCACCAGATAGTGATTGCCAAAATAATTACCATTGGTTTATAATTTTTATATGTTTTCAATAGAATTGGTAAAGTTCTAAAATTTCCCTACAGTCTTGATCCCAAAATTTGACAATGAGGAAATACAAGACATTACTGTTGATGGAAATGACAAGAATCATTCTTGATTAATTGAACTAGAGTGTAAAAGCAGTTAGAGTTGTTTCCATACCATGTCATTCAAATTAAATAAAACATAAGCTGTCACCATTTTGTTTCAAATGCGGTAGGACTTCATAAGATATTAAGTGTGAAATAACAGAAAATCTGTACAGATAAAGGTCTAGGTAAGACAAATTCAACTTAAACTTAGCCAAAATTAACCTCCCAAAAAATCCTTGTCTTTTTAAAGTCAAGTGGGGTAAAAGTACTACTGGTTTTCATACATCATTCACAATAAGCCCTTGTTTGACAACCATTAAAATGAGTTTTTTTGGGGGAAAATGAGTTTTGGAATAGTGAATTTTTGGAGAATGTGGAGTCATAAAGTAGGAAAAAAATTGGGTTTTATGTGTAAAATATTTTATTATAAAAATATCTAGTTGAAAATGAGTTTGAGAAAAAAGAATTTTGTTTTAATGGTTGTCAAACAGGGGCTAATATTGCTTTTTGATTAGGGGAGAAAGGTGGAAAGCTTCCTAGAGTGGCTTAAATAATTATCTTTAATCCATTGTGGTTTGCTTTCAAGACTTCTCAATTCTCATACCTGAGTGCTGTCAGTGACCATTTACCAGAATCTAAAATGCCTAAAACAATCCATCAATTATATCAAAATATACTGACATGTTTCAGAAATCATTTTTGACCATATTTGAGTAATAGTGACAGAAAACAAAACTAAGAGCGGCATCCAAAAAGCTGAGTTCTAGTGATTATGCATTCGACGTGTTATCATTTCAGACTCATATGGATAGAAAACTATCTACTGATAAGTGCTCTTGGCAATAGGAACTGGGAAAAGATTTTGTATTCACGTGCACTTGAACGGGACTAATTCATTGCCCATCTGCAAACTACATATTGTACAGTATAGCCGGGCCCACAAACTCAATAGTCTTCCTGATCCACTGTTGAAATCCCTTAAACTGTGCATAATTGCTTAATTGATTGATAACTTTCAACTTAACCATAGATTTTAGCTTTCCAAACATCACTAAAATACAAGCATTACTAAATTAACGCACTCTCTGTTGGAAACTAGTTTCATGAAGAATGTAATTAATTTCATTGACAGTGAAAGATTACAATCAGGACTCTGTTAAACCCACAGTATAACAAACACTGATAAACTTCAATATCACTAGTTTCCACACTTTCACTATACAAATATTGCAAGTACAACTACAATCCAATTTACATTTCAAGTTCTCATCGAACAAGATGCTGACCTTGAATTGTGAATGGAAAGGATGATGGTAAGCATGATTGCTGAACCCAATCTTAGGCTGCACTACTGTTGCAGCCACTGCCCCTCCTCCACTTGCTTTGGCTGCCTCACCCAACTCCTTCCTCTCTCCCTCTGCCCCAGGCCCCATATCCTCACCATCCCACACTTGCTCCTCCGTCATCTGTAAGTGGTGGTGGCCCGTGTCACCATCATCCGCAACGATCACTAGTGGCTCTCCATCATCGTCATCATCGTCATCCATTCCCGCCATTCTTTCCATTCCCATTGGCACGTGATTGTTATCGTTCAACACTATCTGCAAGTCATCTTCACTTTCTTCACTGTCCCACTCGTCCTCAAAATCTGCTCCACCACGATTCTCGGGCTCACCTGACAATCCCGGAATCACTGGCTCCGAGACAATTTCTCCAACTCCACTTTCGCTGGCGAAATTAACACTCTCTTTCTTCTGGTCCCCTGAATTATTGGTGTTTTCATTTACGCTCTTCATGTTTTCATCTATCTCGACCAAGTTGTAGACCTTATTGTCTCCCTCTTCCACTACGATATTAATATCATTCTCCTCCTCCGCTGTAAAATTCGAGCCTGCAGAAGTCGATTCCGGTAATTTCACCCCCTCACCCTTCTCTAAAACCCTAGCTCTAAACATCACCTCACCACCCTCGTTCCCAGATAAACCTGGAATTCCCTTTCCCTCTTGATTGGAATCCAAATTCAAATCAAACCCTGTCGTTTCGGGTAGGGATTTTCCTTCAATTGCGACACTCAAATTCAATCCATCGGCAGATTGGGAATTAAAATTCTTAGAATCTTGAGCTTCGAGAATAATCTCTTCATCATCACTATTGACGTTCAGATCAATCGAGCGACCCTGGAACGACGTCGATTTGTTCCCAGCTGCCGGCGCATCATTTTGCGGCTGGGAGGCTTGAAACGTCGTTGTGAGCACGTCCGTGTAGAGATCTCCGAAGTCATCATCTTCCATGTGTTTTTGCTCGAAGATGAAGGCCGAAAGCGGTTTCCGATGTAGGTGCTTGCTAATGGAGATGGTGAGCACTTATAGGTAGATATTGTATATGTATGTATGTAGCATGGTGTGTAATATGTAGGTTATGTGCTTTGATATTTTTTATCAATTTGAACTAAAGGTGAGTTGGCCCTTTTTCTCTATCATTATTTTAAAAATTTTTATTTTACATATTCATTTTCATTCACACAAAATAAAATATTTGGTACATAAATTCAAAATTTTTCCTTACTCTTTAGATACATATTTTTCAAAAATTCACTATTCAAAACAATGTTTCTTGTCAAACGATGATTGTCAACTTACTCTTCAAGCCATGTCCTTCCGTCAAATGTATGATTCGATCCCCTTAATTGATTGACCACAAGCTCGGATAACTTTCTCGAGCTCACTGCATAGGTGCACTCGAGAATATTGAGCTCGCATGATGTTTGAAGACCATTGAATACCTTTATAAGATTATGCTTTTACTTTATCTCCATTATTTTCAAAATACATTTTTTTCTATTCTTTTCAACCACACAATTTTCAATAAAATAATATTACGCACATACCCAAAACTTTTCTTTATTTTTTAATCAGACATTCTCCATCAATTTACCATTCCAAAATGCATTCTTATAATAAAATGGGGCACCAACAATTTCTATAATCCATGTTGACCTCAAAATCTTGCATGATATAGCTATCTATCTTTTTTTTTTTTTAAGTGACTACAACTATCTCAGCGGCTCAGCCATTCCACCATCTACTTGTATGTTATATGCACAATAGGATAGCATATTAGAACACAAGGTCATTGCTACGAGGGATGGTGCAACATTTATATCTACTTTAAGACTCAAGTTGAGACATAAGTTGTGTGTGAAAAGACAAAGAGACGGAGTTTTATCTATGATGCGTAACTTGTATTTGTTTGGGACATTTACATATAAAATGTCAAACAAAAGTGTTCAAAACTTTGGTTGATCTCCTTGCACATCTAAGGTATGTTGATATGTTTATCGTTACCTTTTCCTACTACCTTTGATTGGTATCATTCGACATGAGGTCACCCGCTTGTTTGCACTGAATGGTGCCGGAGGCAACACAACGTTATTCTAAGTGGTGCATCTTTTTACCTTCGAACTTTTACTCTTTGGTGCTAACTAGTAGAACACCAAATAATTGGTACAAACTAGTGTTTGACCACTTGGGAGATGTTGTCTGCTGTTAGATCTCATGCAACAAAATATTCTTGATCATTTAGCAACCCATGTGATCCTCAAAAGTGTGAAGTGTCTTTCTTTTTCTTTTTGATCGAGGCAATTTGAAATTGTGTGACGTGAATTTTTCGTCAACATGGACAAGTGTACCTATATGCTCTATATGAGGCTCAATGTAGGCTAGAGGGTGTAACAACTTTCGTCTTATTGCCAACACTGTAGTGACTTGGACTTTTATTGTCTTATCAAGTTGGTTTACAATTTACAAATATCAAACAAGTTGACAAGTTTTTGGAAAATGACTCCTAGATTCTTGAGGTCAAATGTATGGTTTTTTTTATCAATATGAAAATCAAGTTGAATCTCGAGTTTTCATCCACAAAGTTCATCGACACAAGCTGGTATATCCTCGATAGTGAAACAAATTTCATATTTTAGCTTGGGTCCCCTTTGAGATTGTTTTGTTTCCTCATCTTTGATCATCATTGGTTGCTCTTTTGCATCCAATAACATAGTACCAAAAGGATTTGTCAATTTTTTGACCAAGCATTTCTATAATATGTTCGATGCGTTATGCACCTATTAACTGTGTAATGAATATAACTTGGCTAACCAGCTAGCTCCTACATGTTATTGACCTTTCGTTACAGGCATAATCTTAAAGCACATGGAACGAATCACCGAGGTGATGAAAGGTTTTCTTCCCCATCATATGCCCACCACACAAATAAATAAGAAATTTGATTTGATGAGCTGACTTTTTCATGGAAGGACAATGCAAAGCATAAAAAAAAAACTATCAATATATTCAAATTCATTGTTTGATTTTGGTCCTTAGATATAAAAATTACTGTAAAGTAAGAACAACGTGGATCAATATTGATACGCACAATAATTTTAATACCCAAACTCGAGCTATGTGGCCCGACCTTGATCCAACTTAATTGGGCTCATAATGAGGTCGGGTCCTATCTTAACTCACCCATCTTCTTGACCATATCGCACGTTTCCTAGGAATGTTAATCCTATCTAGATATAAACCTCCAATTTATTACAAATTTGATTCTAACCCAAACACCTTCTATAGCAAGGATAGGTATCACAGTTGGTTGAGTCCTTTTAGGACCCAACCTCCAACTTCTATAAGTACATGACCTAGCCTCATTATTTACGTACGTTTTCAATAATGTTCCAGCATACAATATTTTGTAATTCCTCTTTCTGACTTAAGCATCGGAGGGGCGATGAAAGCACACCTCGAAACCTTTGTTTCAGGTATTGAAGACCAATTGGTGCGGAGTTCCATCAGTCGGTTCGAGTTCATTCAGGTGTGACTTTTGGTAGCATCATTAGCGCCACTATGGGAATCGCTACCAGAAGCCATAGTTAACACACGTTCAGGACATCTTCCAGCAAGCTCATCCTCTCTTGACCAACCTTCCGTCGGAGACCATCCGGGTCCCTAGGAGATATCATCCGGGGGACTACCACACCCATCGGCAACAGTTGCTCCCGGAGCATTGGATGAACTCCGCCAGTAGGTAACTACTTAACTATTATATCAGAGAAACACACCCCCAGTGCTATCTCCGTGGAGTGGTCCCAGACCCAAGCCACGGTGACGTCGGAGCCTCGGACACACAGCATATCCCCGTAGGTTCAAGATCAATTACTATGGACTAGGCTGATCTTGCACGAATCATCCAAGAGAGAATCATAGCCGGAATGCTCCAGAAGTCTCATGCAATAACAAGATTCACCCCTAACACACCTTTTACCCCTGAAATATTATCATATTCCCTACCGGATCGATTTAAGCACCCCCTCGAGTGAAGGAGTATGACGGGACGACTGACCCCATCAACCATCTCAACATATACACGGATATCATAAACTTGCAGGTCGAACCCGATGCTGTACAATGCAAGGTCTTTTCTTAGACACTTACCAACGAAGCTAGAGACTAGTTCTCCACATTGGAACCTAACTCTATATCCTCCTTTTTGGGCATGGCTGATAAGATCTCCAAGTTCTTTGCAAATAGTAAGTGCATCAGGAAAACAGCCGCGTCACTCATACAGATGCGTCAAGGACCCAATGAGGCACTTCTCAATTTCATGACAAGATTTAATAAGGAAAGACTTATGATCTCCGATCTACACATCATAGCTGCAGTCTCTGTCCTAACATATGCCGTAAGATGTGAGGATTTTTAAAATGTCTTTGTCAAAGACCCCTCCCAAGTCCATAACCGACCTACTGACTCGAGCTGAGAAATACATCAACATGGAGGAGACTATGTTTCCCAGAAGAGATGCCATGCCATTAAAGAAGCCTGACCTAAAGAGGCTACATGAATCCAACCAGCGCTCGGACCCTTTCCGAAGCAAACCAAGGCAAGACCCTCATCCAACACCTTTCACTCGCTTAAACACCACAAGGTCTAACATTTTGATG